AGGTGACGCATGTGCAAAGCCCAGTAGCAGCGCAGGTTCAGCCTTCGGACTGAGTTTGTTCTTCCTCTTAGCCTCATAAACAAAACCGATACATCCACAAACTCAACTTTTCTTCAAATCCGGCTTCTTTCCGTGAAGTTTTTCCGATGGGGTCTTGCCATTGAGGGCTCTCGTTGCGCTCATATTGTCTATCTGCACGATGTACTGCAGCACTTCAGGCCACAGCATAGTCGACATGTCCACCGCTTGCATTGCAGCACGAGTCTTGTTGGTCAATACTCCATTCAGCTTCTCCACCAGAGCCTTCTCCTCTGGAGTGTATGGATGTGTAGGTATGAAATCAATCCCACGAGACTCCAAGAAAGTACCTAATTCAGAGTTTGCAAATTCACCTCCGCCATCGCGGAGGTGAACCCCCTCCGCGATGGCGACACACCTTGATCGTGTGTCCCTTCGCCAGTAGCTTCTTAAACAACGCGATAGTATTCGCATTTGAGTCATTTTCTTCCTGATAGGATAACACCACTTGAATCTGGAACATTCGTCTTGTATGAGTTGGAAATAACGATAGTTGCCAGTTCCAGGAATGCATTTGCCCATGTCACAAGTGTCTGGCATTAACCTCTCATAATTCACCTTGGTTCTCTTCTCCTTGGCGCTCTTCTTGTATAACATGCGCCTGCGTTTCGCTGACAAGCACGTCATGCACTCGAACTTCCTTTTGAAGAGGTCTACTGGAATCTCCATACCATCTACCACTTTGTTATCCACCATCGTCTTAATTGCCGACACGTTCAGGAGTCCAAGTCTTTCATGCCAACGCATCAGCAGACTAGCATCAGCGTTTACAGTAGAGAGCAGGTTGAGAGATCCAGTGTCCAGCCAATAATGAACTCCACGTTTCACAAATTCGAGTCTCCCAGCAGCGGAATCAAGCCAACACTTCCTTGGTTCACCAGCCGTACTGAACGAGGGAATCCAGCCTTCACTCTCCATCTTATCTAAACTCACTAAGTTCACTGTTCCAGCCGGAGAGAACTGAACTCTTTCAGTTCAACTTCGCACGACTTGCCACTCACATTTTCATCCGGAACACACAACGTAACAGAGCTGCACATCACGCCCTTGGTTAGTTCTCCAGTCCAGACTTTGAATACAGCCTTAGACTTCTTCACACTCGAATACAGGTCTCGATCCACACAGACGTGCGTCGCACTACCGCAGTCCAACATCCACGAGTTCGGCCTGTTCACGTGATCTTCTTTCAGCACCATACCAGTCATCGGGAGGTCATCATCACTTCCATCATCACTGCTACTACTACTACTTGCGTAGGTTCGCATTATCTTCGGTGCTCTTGGATTTAGAATCAGCAAGTTGTCCTGCACAGCCGACTCCTTATTGTTTTCATCCTTCTTCATCTTCTTCTTCTTCTTCTTCTTGGACTTTCCCGACTTCTTGGTTTGTTTCTGGTTCTCTTTTGGCTTCCTCTGCATGTTGAGAAAACCCCAGCACTCACGCTCAATGTGTCCGAGCTTGCCGCAGTGAAAACACTTGCGCTTCTTCTTCCACGCTCCCCCGTTTCCAGTACTGCCGCTCCCTTATTGTTGGGGTCAGTTCTGGTCACGCTCATCACCACAGCTCCCCCGTTTTGAGTGCTTCCGACTCCATTCTCCGAGATATGATCTCGTTCATCTCTCGACCGCAGTCCATTGGTTACCTGTGGCAGGTTCAGAGGGTTTCCTTGGCGAGTAGGTAAAACTGATCCACCAAGTCCCGGTGCGTTTGCATGACTCCCATCACCAGAATACGTGCCATCTCGTCGTCGCTTATTGCATGAGTCGGGTCGACGATGTTCAGTAGTTGCCTCGTCCGTCCCATGTTGGATAAGTACTCGGACATTGGTTGTCCTTGCACGTGCTTCAGGGCATATAGTTGGCTCCTCAGCGTCATCATGTACGAGTAGTCTCTTACAGTATTGTCCTCTACGAGCGTAGTCCACATCTCACGCGCAGTAGCCATCGCACAGACCTTGCTTGCAGCATTGTCTTGGCATCCACGCAGTCCACGCAGTATCGTTCCACGCGCTAGTCGGTTTCTCGAATCCCAAACCGCTTGTTGGTCAGCGTCGTTGTTGTGACGTCGGTCTGTACCAATCACCACTCCCCATGCTTCTCGTTCTTCTAGGTAAACCTCCAGCTCAACGCGGTACACTTCGAACGTGCCCTCAAACTTCGATGGCTTCGAGCCTCCTCGAGCCAATGTTGGTTGCGCTTGGTTGGCGTTAGCGTTGCCACCACCACCTCCAGCAGCAGCAGCAGCAGCTCCACCACCAGCAGCGACAGCTCCAGCACCACCGCCTCCGCCAGCAGC